TTGTTAAATTTTTAGGGTAATTTTCTTGGCGGGAGGGAGGCGCGACCCATTTTTCTGGAGTGATGTACCCCATGGTCGAGAGGAGCGCCTGTGGCGGTAGGCCAGCCCGCTGGACACGGGTGTGCGGCGGGGTGGCCTACCCCTGACCTTGCAGGCGCGCTGGTCGAGCCCCTGCGGCAGTAGGCCAGCCCGCCGGGCATGGGTGTGCGGCGGGTTGGCCTACTCCCGACCTCGCAGGCGCCTTGGCCGATAATGTCCAGGATCATCCCCCCCGACTGCAGCTCCGCGATGTACTACTTCTTCTTGCAGAACGAGTGGGTGAGCCCCCACAACGAGCGCCTCCGCTGGCTGTCGGGCTTCACCGGGGCCGGGGCGAGCGTGGCCGTGGTCACGCGCAGCACCGCGTCGCACGTCAAGGAGTTCGCTGTGCTCTGGACGGACGCCCGCTTCCTGCAGCTGGCCGACGAGCAGCTGGACTGCAGCTGGCAGCTGCGACAGCTGCGCTCGCCGCTCCAGGTGGCGGACTGGCTGGCGGAGCGGCTGTACGCCGGAGACAAGGTGGGCGCCGACCCCAGGGTGGTGCTGGTGCCGCAGTGGGAGCAGTGGTACAACCGGATGTACAACGAGAACTCCATCGAGCTGGTGGAGGTGATGCCGGGCATTGTGGACGAGGTCTGGACCCGTGGCCGTCCCGACAAGCCCGGCCTCGAGGCCTTCATCCACAAGACGGGACAGCGAGGGCAGATCTGGCAGAACCGCGTGCGCGCGGTGCAGAAGCAGATGGAGCAGCGCCGCGTGGACGGCCTCGTCTTAACCGCCCTCGACGAGATCGCGTGGCTGCTCAACATCCGCGGGCGCGACCTGCCGTACGCGCCGCTGCTCGAGGCCTACCTGGTGGTCCCCGTCCACGAGTCGGTGGACGTGGTGGCTCTGTACGTGGACAAGCAGCCATCCAGGATCACGCCGGCCATCGAGCAGCACCTCAAGGCAGCCAACTGCGTCCGAACCAGGATCTGCGTGAGGTGAGTCCAACGCCCGGCGCGGTTTGCGCGGACCCTGCGCGCCAGGTCAGACCAATTGGCCGCACTCGACGCGGAGGTCAGGCGCAGAGGAGGTGGACCTGGCGCTCTGCGACTGCGCGCCAGCTCCCCGCGAGTGCGAGACAGAGAGAGACAGAGAGAGTCGCGGGCCCGCCGCCAGCGCGTCTCACTCGCACGGGCTCGCCGCCCCCGCTCGCGGGTCGATACTCTGCCCGCCGGGCTCGCCGGGGATGAGAACGTGGATGCTGTTTTCGCGATGAGAAACTCGGCGGTCGCGGGGCTGGTGCGGAGGCGGCGCCCGGGGGATGCTCTAGGGTCGCGGCGGCGCCACGCACAAACGGCGTCCTCGCTGGAGCCGTCTCTGGACGCTTTCGAGTGGTCCCGCCCACTCGCAGGAGGTCACCACCGGTCCGCCGCCGCTGTCGGGGACCCTTCCGGGACCCGGCCGGCGCAGGTGGCGTCGCTACGCCCCGATAAGTCTTCGGCGTTCCTTTCCCGTTTGAACCTTCCCGCGGGCCCGACTGTGCGGGGGGCAGCTCGCCGCGATGGCCGCGGCCCCGGCGTGCCGGCAGGCAGCACTGGCCAGGGACAAGGGGCGCCGGGCGAAAGTAGTGGGGTCTCAGGACGCGAGGAGGCGGACCCGCGGGCCGGCCGCGCTGGCCGCGCGCAGGCGCTCTGCACGCACACGCACTGCAACGTCACGGGGAGACACCCACACCGGCTCCCTGGAATGTTTGACGTGGACGATGACGTTGACGCTTCCCTTTCAGCATCCGGCCGTACGAGCAGTTCTGGCGCGACCTGGAGCGGCCCACCAACAGGACCGCGATGTGGATCTCCAACCACCCGCGGCTGGGCGCATCCAGGGCGGTGCAGCTGGCGGTAGGTGCGGTCGGCGGTGGGGGAGCAGGGTCGCGGGCAGCGTGACGACCAGGATCACGACGTGGCCGACGGCCCTCTGTCTGCAGGTGCGGCGCCGGCACGACGTGCACCAGGAGTGGTCGCCGGTGATCGCCCTCAAGAGCATCAAGAACGAGGCGGAGCGCGAGGCCATGCACTCGGCGCACGCCCTGGACGGCGCTGCCATGTGCGAGCTGCTGGCCTTCCTGGACGCCCAGCTCGCCGAGGACGAGACCTGGACGGAGACGCGCGTCGCCGAGAGGGTCGACTTCTTCCGCCAGCCCGAGGTACGTTTGGCCCGCTAGGCCTTCGCCGGCGTGACGAGGGCATCCTGTCTGATGTGTTGTTGCCGACAGATGTCGTTCAGGATGACGTCCTTCCCGACGCACGTGGGCTACGGGCAGCACGGGGCGCTGCCGCACTACGTGCCGCGGGCCAGCAGCGACCTGCTCATCGGCAAGGAGTCCACCGTCGTCATCGACTCGGGCGGCCAGTACGAGAGTGAGTAGTACGACGAAGAGTGTGCGTGGCCGTTGAACGTCGTGTTCTGGCCTAGAGTGTCCAGACCGCGTCAGGAGGGGCTAGGGGGGCCACCTCCTGCGGCCGAACTGTACAAAGCGTAGGGGCCGGCACCAGGGGACCAACACGCGCAGGAGCTACCTCCTTTCTCCCGGGGTCGCGGCGCAGTCGCGGCTCAGTACGGGGG